GTGTTGTAGTTATCTGTGTTGTAGTTTATCTGTGTTATAGTTTATCTGTGTTGTAGTTTATCTGTGTTGTAGTTTATCTGTGTTGTAGTTTATCTGTGTTGTAGTTTAGTTGTGTTGTAGTTTATCTGTGTTGTAGTTTATCTGTGTTATAGTTTATCTGTGTTGTAGTTTAGTTGTGTTGTAGTTTATCTGTTGTTGTAGTTTATCTGTGTTGTAATTTATCTGTGTTGTAGTTTATCTGGGGTTGTAGTTTATCTGTGTTGTGGGTTTATCTGTGTTGTAGTTTATCTGTGTTATAGTTTATCTGTGTTGTAGTTTATCTGTGTTGTAGTTTATCTGTGTTGTAGTTTATCTGTGTTGTAGTTTATCTGTGTTGTAGTTTATCTGTGTTGTAGTTTATCTGTGTTGTAGTTTATTTTGTGTTGTAGTTTATCTGTGTTGTAGTTTATCTGTGTTATAGTTTATCTGTGTTGTAGTTTAGTTGTGTTGTAGTTTATCTGTGTTGTAGTTTATCTGTGTTGTAGTTTATCTGTGTTGTAGTTTATCTGTGTTGTAGTTTATCTGTGTTGTAGTTTATCTGTGTTGTAGTTTATCTGTGTTGTAGTTTAGTTGTGTTGTGTTTATCTGTGTTGTAGTTTATCTGTTTTTTTTGTAGTTTATCTGTGTTGTAGTTTATCTGTGTTTGTAGTTTATCTGTGTTGTAGTTTATCTTTTGTTGTAGTTTAGTTGTGTTGTAGTTTATCTGTGTTGTAGTTTAGTTGTGTTGTAGTTTATCTGTGTTGTAGTTTTTCTGTATTTTTAGTTTATCTGTGTTGTAGTTTATCTGTGTTGTAGTTTATCTGTGTTGTAGTTTATCTGTGTTGTAGTTTATCTGTGTTGTAGTTTAGTTGTGTTGTAGTTTATCTGTGGTTGTAGTTTATCTGTATTGTAGTTTATCTGTGTTGTAGTTTATCTGTGTTGTAGTTTATCTGTGTTGTAGTTTATCTGTGTTGTAGTTTATCTGTGTTGTAGTTTAGTTTTTTGTTTGTAGTTTATCTGTGTTGTAGTTTAGTTGTGTTGTAGTTTATCTGTGTTGTAGTTTATCTGTGTTGTAGTTTATCTGTGTTGTAGTTTAGTTGTGTTGTAGTTTATCTGTGTTGTAGTTTATCTGTGTTTAGTTTATCTGTGTTGTAGTTTAGTTGTGTTTTAGTTTATCTGTGTTGTAGTTTATCTGTGTTTTTATTTGTAGTTGTGTTGTAGTTTATCTGTGTTGTAGTTTATCTGTGCTGTAGTTTAGTTGTGTTGTAGTTTATTTTGTGCTGTAGTTTTATCTGTGTTGTAGTTTATCTGTGTTGTAGTTTAGTTGTGTTGTAGTTTATCTGTGTTGTAGTTTATCTGTGTAATGGTTTATCTGTGTTGTAGTTTAGTTGTGGTGTAGTTTATCTGTGTTGTAGTTTATCTGTGTTGTATTTTTGTTGTGTTGTAGTTTATCTGTGTTGTAGTTTATCTGTGTTATAGTTTATCTGTGTTGTAGTTTAGTTGTGTTGTAGTTTATCTGTGTTGTAGTTTATCTGTGTTGTAGTTTAGTTTTTGTTGTATTTTAGTTTGTGCTGTATTTTATCTGTGTTGTAGTTTATCTGTGTTGTAGTTTATCTGTGTTGTAGTTTAGTTGTGTTGTAAGTTTATCTGTGTTGTAGTTTATCTGTGTTGTTAGTTTATCTGTGTTGTAGTTTATCTGTGTTGTATTTTAGTTGTGTTGTAGTTTATCTGTGTTGTAGTTTATCTGTGTTGTAGTTTATCTGTGTTGTAGTTTATCTGTGTTGTAGTTTAGTTGTGTTGTAGTTTATCTGTGTTGTAGTTTATCTGTGTTGTAGTTTCTGTGTTTGTAGTTTATCTGTGTTGTAGTTTATCTGTGCTGTAGTTTCTGTGTTGTAGTTATCTGTGTTGTAGTTTATCTGTGTTGTAGTTTATCTGTGTTATAGTTTATCTGTGTTGTGTTTAGTTGTTTTTGTAGTTTATCTGTGTTGTAGTTTATCTGTGTTGTAGTTTCTGTGTTGTAGTTTATCTGTGTTGTAGTTTATCTGTGTTGTGTTAGTTGCGTTGTAGTTTAGTTGTGTTGTAGTTTTATCTGTGTTGTAGTTTATCTATGTTGTAGTTTATCTGTGTTGTGTTTAGTTGTTTTTGTAGTTTATCTGTGTTGTATTTTATCTGTGTTGTAGTTTATCTGTGTTATAGTTTATCTGTGTTGTAGTTTATCTGTGTTGTAGTTTACCCTGTGTTGTAGTTTATCTGTGTTGTAGTTTATCTGTGTTATAAGTTTATCTGTGTTGTAGTTTATCTGTGTTGTAGTTTATCTGTGTTTAGTTTATCTGTGTTATAGTTTATCTATGTTGTAATTTATCTGTGTTGTAGTTTATCTGTGTTGTAGTTTATCTGTGTTGTAGTTTATCTGTGTTGTAGTTTATCTGTGTTGTAGTTTATCTGTGTTTTTAGTTTTCTGGGGTTTTTTAGTTTATCTGTGTTATAGTTTATCTGTGTTTTTGTTAGTTGTGCTGTAGTTTATCTGTGTTGTAGTTTATCTGTGTTGTAGTTTCTATGTTGTAGTTTATCTGTGTTGTAGTTTAGTTGTGTTGTAGTTTATCTGTGTTGTAGTTTATCTGTGTTGTAGTTTATCTGTGTTGTAGTTTATCTGTGTTGTAGTTTATCTGTGTTGTAGTTTATCTGTGTTTAGTTTATCTGTGTTGTAGTTTAGCTGTTTTGTAGTTTATCTGTGTTGTAGTTTTGTGTTGTAGTTTATTCTGTGTTGTAGTTTATCTGTGTTGTAGTTTATCTGTGTTTGTAGTTTAGTTGTGTTGTAGTTTATCTGTGTTGTAGTTTAGTTGTGTTGTAGTTTATCTGTTTTTATAGTTTATTTTTGTTGTTGTTTGGGTTGTGTTGTAGTTTATCTGTGTTGTAGTTTAGCTATGTTGTAGTTTATCTGTGTTGTAGTTTATCTGTGTTATAGTTTATCTCTGTTGTTGTTTAGTTGTGTTGTAGTTTATCTGTGTTGTAGTTTATCTGTGTTGTAGTTTATCTGTGTTGTAGTTTAGTTGTGTTGTAGTTTATCTGTGTTGTAGTTTAGTTTGTGTTGTAGTTTATCTGTGTTGTAGTTTTCTTTTGTTGTAGTTTATCTCTGTTGTTGTTTAGTTGTGTTGTAGTTTATCTGTGTTGTAGTTTATCTGTGTTGTAGTTTATCTCTGTTGTTGTTTAGTTGGTTGTAGTTTATCTGTGTTATAGTTTATCTGTGTTGTAGTTTAGTTGTGTTGTAGTTTATCTGTGTTGTAGTTTAGTTGTGTTGTAGTTTATCTGTGTTGTAGTTTAGTTGTGTTGTAGTTTATCTGTGTTGTATTTTAGTTGTGTTGTAGTTTATCTGTGTTGTAGTTTATCTGTGTTGTAGTTTAGCTATTTTTGTAGTTTATCTGTGTTTTAGTTTCTGTGTTGTAGTTTTATGTGTTATAGTTTATCTTGTTGTAGTTTATCTGTGTTGTAGTTTATCTGTGTTGTAGTTTTTTCTGTGTTATAGTTTATCTCTGTTGTTGTTTAGTTGTGTTGTAGTTTATCTGTGTTGTAGTTTAGCTGTGTTGTAGTTTATCTGTGTTTTAGTTTCTTGTTTGTAGTTTATATGTGTTATAGTTTATCTGTGTTGTAGTTTATCTG